CCTTCTCTCTCCTCTCGCCCCGCAGTGGCCATCTGCAGTACCACGTGGCAGCTTGCTGGAGACCTTGAAGACCCCTTGATCAGGGGATGCTCAACAGTGGTGAGGGTTTGCTCACACAACACACCCTGGATTTACAATGCTGCTGGTAGGGCCTGATCAAGATCTCAGCCCCCCCTCCCTCCTCCACTTGGCTTGCTGCAGTACAGACATATCTGGGTGGCTGATCAAGATCTCATCCCCCTCTCTCCTCTAGCTGAATTGCTGCAGCGAAGGCCAAGACCCTCCTGGTCTTGGTACACCTTGTGTCCTTGGAGACACCAAGGGCCAGGTATCACTTCTTCCTTCTCCCTACTAATCCACTTTCTCTCCCTTTCTCTCTCTCCTCTTACTCACACCCCTCTCCCCACCCCACCTTTCTCCCACCACCCACTCTCTTACTCTTTTTTCTTCATTTCCTTTCTTTTCTTTCCTCCTCCTTTCCTCCTTGCTTCTTGATCCCTCTCCACCTTTCCCTAACCCTCCTCTCCCCCAACTACCACCACATCATCCCCCCACCTCCCACTTCATTTTTTTTTCTCTCCCACCTATTTCTTTCTTTTCTCCTTCACTTTCTCATTCCCCTTCCCCCCTACCTTGAATTTCTTCTGTTTTTCTTCTTTCTATCTTAGTTTTGATTTATCTTTTCTCTTTTTCCAAAAAAAAACGAATTATCTTCTTCCCCACCTTCTTTTCTCATTTTCTCATTCATTTCATTTATTTTTCTATTTATTCTGAAAATTCAATTTTCTTTACGGCAACCCTAAATCTCTTTAGGTGTCAGTCTTTCTTGCTTTCGGCACACGTTTTGACCCCGTGGGGGTAACGAAGTGCTGCCAAAAATTTCTGATTTTCTCTTACTTAGTGTTTTTCGGCACACTTCGACCCCATGGGGGTAACGAAATGCTGCCAAAATTTTTGAAAAGTCAGATACTTTATTTCTCCTCACCTTCTCATCCACTTATTTACTTATTTATTTATTTATCTATTTATTTATCTATTTATTTATTATTATTATTATTATTATTTTTTAAATTTCTATTTGCGGCAGTTTGAAACCTAGTGTGTTTATCTAGATCTCTCCTCTCCCTTGGGCACATTCTTGACCCCACGGGGGGTAGGGACATGCTGCCAAAAATTTCAAAAAAAATAATCTTTTTTTTTCTTTTCACATTTTGTTTACTTCTTCCCTTAATTATTTTTATTATTTATTCTCTTTTGTTTTTCTCTTGAAATCTCGCTGTTTATTTAATTCTTCTCCCGCCTTCCACCCCTATGCTTGCTATTTTATTTTCTTGATTAGGTCACCGGCACCGTACCCCAACCACTCAAACTCCGGTTAGGGTTTCCTTAGGGTTTTTCTAGGGTTAAGGGTTCGTCAACCCCCCCCTACTCCCCTTCCTATTCGGGCACCCTGGACCCGAACCACCCCTCCCCCTTTGACGGCGCCCGCGCCAGCCTTGCTAGCGTCGTCCGCCGCCTTCTACCGCGGACCCCCCCCTTCACCCTCCCCTCACGCGGACCTCTCCTGGCCCCCTCCAGTCCGGCCCATCACCTCCCCATGGCCGACGGTGTGTCACACGCCGCCGCCGTGGCGACGACCACGGCACAGGGCTTCACACCCGTGCCGACGGACCAGGGCCACCAGCCTTAGGGGGATCTGCACACCTTCCTCACCTCCCTCCTTGTGCCCATCCAGGCGCAACTCGCGACCCTCGCACCCTTACAGGCGCAGGTGGTGACACTTGGTGCCGGCATGCAGCAACTAAGAACGCTGTGTGTCCTTCATCTCCTCTCTTCCAGTCCGGGTCCCCCGTCCTCCAACAGGGTGGTCACGGCGGAGCTTCCCCCTCCGCTGCCCCCGACCCGGCCATCTTGGTGACTGTCCACGCCCCTAGCACGACGGCCGCCACGAGCCAGACCCTCCCTCAGTCCACGGGCGTACCCGCCCAGGTTCCAGTCACGACGGCCATGGGACTACAACCCGCTACCATGGTCTCAGCTTTTCCGGGTGCTCCGCTTCTCCCTTCCCTTCGCACGACCGCAGCGCCACCTGCTGCCCGCCGCTTGTGCATCCACTTCCTCCACTCTTCCTCCTACCACTCCTCGCTCGACCTATGTTCGAGGTCTCGCGGACGAGATTGCCCAGCTCCGGGCCGACCTCGCCCTCTTACGCCTTCAGCCACCCCCACCCTCACAGGTGGCCGCGTCCTCGAGCGCACCCCCTACCTCCTGTACTCTTCCTCCGATGCAGGCTCGCTTCCCGCGCCCTGCATCCTATCCACCCCCATCCTACCTTCTTCCTATTCCTGCAGTTGCTGCGACCTCTTCTACGCAGCTCCCTCGCAGCCTGCCGCAGTTGCCTCCGCCGCTCCCCCATGGGGCCCGGGCGCACAGTCAGTTGCGCCCCTCTCTCCAGGACCTGCGCCGACTTACTCAGTCGTGGCACAGGTCTCTGCTCCTCGATCCCCTTGCCGCCAAAATGGTGGCGCACCACTCATCCGCTTGTCGGACATTTCCTTGTATGAAGGTACAGGCATACGCGTGTCTAGGTGGCTGCAGTCTGCCACCCGCACGCTCCAGCTCATGGGCGCCACACCCGACACGTGGGTGGGTCACCTCTCCACGCGTCTACGTGGAGGTCCTTTCGAGGCCTGGGAGGATTTCTACGCGTACTCCCTTCGTGAGGGTCGGACCCCGACCTTCATGGATTTCCAGGCGTTCCTCAACGATCGCTTCGGAGCCCGATCCGACGTGACTGACGCCTTCGAGCGTGTCGTCACTACACGCTGGTCCGGCTCTGGTGGCGTTGCCACTCTAAATCGCCACATCCAGGTATTTCAGGACGCCCGCCTCACTTGTGACGTGGCGTTCCTCCCCGAGGCTGCCCTTATCGATCGTTTCTTGGCCAGCCTTCCGCTCGAGTACCGCTCCGAGCTATGGCGGTAGGAGTTCACATCGGCCCCGCAGGCTTACGAGGCCGCCAGGGACCATTAGCGGATGCGAGCCCGTCTTCACCTTGCCTCCTCCTCCCAGCCTCAGCGCACGGGTTACGCCTCCTCCTCCTCTCACGACACTTCCCAGCGCCGTTCCCCCTTCCGGGGTCACCCCCGCCGTTCTGCGCAGCAGGGCCGCCACTTCTCGTGCCGCTTCAGCGCGCTCAAGTATGGTGAGCAAGACGTTGGTGCCCCGCTGTCGCCAGAGGGTGACCATAGCGACGACCTCGACCTTGGCGACCTCGACGACCTCGACCTCGCCAGAGGGTGACCATAGCGACGACCTTGACCTCGGCGAGGCCCTACCACCTGGAGGACCCTACTCTCCCTATGGTTGAGCGCCTCCAGCTCATCCTCGCCACCATTTCCCGGGCACGGAACCGCCCTAGTCACGCTGGCGCGTCGCCCCCTGAGGTCCCTCAGCAGGACCTTCCCCAGAGCTTTGTCCCTCCTCGCGGTGTCCTTCCCGCTGAGGAGCGCGCAGCTATTTTGGGCCGGCGTGGGTGTTTGCGCTGCCACTTGGACGGTCATACCTCCTCGCGGTGCCTTTATACCACCGCCCTTGACCGCCACTACGCTGACCTTTCCCGCCAGCGTCGTGTTCAGTCCCCCCCCAGCGCCTCACATCCCCGCGGCGCCTCCTAGCCATGGTGCAGTGTACACCTGCGCCCTCCTCAGTAGTCGGCTTCCCAACATCCCCGTCGCGGTTTGCCCCTCTCGCTACTGGAGTTGAGGTCTCGTAGGACCCGAAAGAGTGTACTCAGCCCTCTGTCACAGTACCGTCTGCGCCTCTGCAGACCACAGTCTCCCCTCCTTCCTCGCCTCGGCTACCGACGCATCGAGCCATTCGCTCAACCCGTTGTAGCGAGCAGCTCGCTACTCGCGAGGACGTTGTGTCCTCTCTTCTGGACTTGAACATGTTTCAGGCTCGTCAGGAGTGACTCACCCTCCATGTCGCTGCCCTGCGTCGCCTTCTCACCATTCTCTCTGACCCTGATCGCACCCTCCCGATCATTCCAGTACGACTAGGGACCTCTACGAGGGTGTACTCAGCGCTGTGGGATTCCGGTTATCAGGGCGACTTCATTCATCCACGTGTAGTGAAAGAAGTCCACTTACCCACGACCGGGTCTCCGACTCCCATCTCTGTCACCCTAGGGGATGACAAGACCCAACGCTTCTTTGATCAGACGGTCAACCTCCCTTTCTTCCTCACTCTCGAGCCGACTGATTGTTCCCCGGCGTCTCGTCACCACCGCTCCTCCGCACATTTCGATGTGATGGAGACGGTGTATGACTTCATTCTCGGCACTCCGTGGTCTCGTCGGTTCCGCACCACCGAGGCCGATTGGGCAACCAACACTCTCGTTCTCAAAACGAAGTGTGGACAGACGTATCGCGTACCTTTTATAGGTACCACTGCGACACCACGCCCCGATCCTCCTCCCCCGGAGCCCTCCGTGCCCACATCATCTCCTTCTATCACCGTCACCTCGCCTCGGCAGTTCACCCACTTCATCCGACAGGATGACGTCACCTTCTTTATGGTAAACGTGACGGATCTCTTACACTATGATCCACCCTGTCCCGACGCCAAGCTCATCCCTCTGGAGCCAAATCCTTTTTTTATCTCCATGGCTCCCATCTCTACTTCCGTCCCTCCGCCGTCCGTCGAGTCCACCCCGTCGTCGCGCTCTGACGCTGACACTGAGGAACTCGCACGATATACTGCTGACTTGAAGCCCGCAGTTCGTGACCTCATTCAAGAGTACCACGACGTTTTCCCATCGTCGTTCTCGTACGCCGACATCCCACCAATGCGCGACGTCGAGCACTCCATCCAGCTTGTACCTTACTATCGTGTTCACCACCAGGCACCCTACAGACTCTCGATCCCCGAGGTCACTGAACTCAAGCATCAGCTTGAGGAGCTCTTGAGACTGGATTTCACGTCCTCTTTGCTCGCAAAGCGGAAGGAACTCTCCGTCTCTGCATCAACTATCGTGGTCTTAACCGCTACACGGTTAAGAACAGCTAGCCTATGTCTCGTTTTGATGAGTTGTTCGACCGCCTAGCAGGCAACCGCTTCTTTGCCAAGATTGATCTTCGTAGCGGTTACCGTCAGATCCGCGTCACTGCAGCCGACCAGCCGAAGACAGCGTTCCGATCGCGCTTCGGCCACTACGAGTTTACAGTGATGTCATTTGGCCTCACCAACGCACCCGCTACCTTTCAGACGGCGATGAACGACATGTTCAAGGACATCCTGGAGCAGTACGTTCTCGTATATCTCGACGATATTCTGGTCTACAGTCACACCATTGAGGAGCACCTCAGACACCTCCGCGACGTCCTTGACTGCTTGCGCAGACATGGCTTCTACGCCAAGCTGAGCAAGTGCCGCTTTGCCCAGCACAAAGTGAATTTCTTAGGACACTACGTGTCTGACCAGGGTCTCCACATGGACGACACGAAGATCACTGCTATTGCGGAGTGGCCTGTCCCCACATCCTCCAAGCAGCTTCGCAGCTTCCTAGGCCCGACCAGTTACTATAGTAATTCAATTCAGGGATACTCTGGGTATTCCTACGTCCTTACCTCCACCCTCCTCCGGAAGAACCCACCCTGGGCTTGGACACCCCTCCACGAGGATGCCTTCCGCGCCCTAAAAAAGGCGGTGACATGCACACCGGTTCTTCACCTACCCGATTTTGATCGCTCTTTTATCCTTACCACCGATGCGTCAGACTTTGTTGTAGGAGCAGTGCTTTCTCAGATCTTCCCCTCCTCTTCTGATTCCCCTCATCCTCGTATCTCTCGCTTCCCACCACCTACCCCTACCATTGCTTCCCGACTGACGCCTACTCGTCCAGCTACTGACGAGCCTTCTATTGACTATTCTCCTACCATCGCCGAGGACAGCACTGTCGAGTCTCGCTCAGGTGATTGTCCGATAGCCTTTTACTCCCGTCAGCTTCTGCCCGCCGAGATAAACTACACTGCTGATGAACGTGAGGTTCTCGCAGTAGTTTATGTCGCAGGGCACTGGCGCCACTACCTGCACGGGGCACCATTCACGGTGCGCACGGACAACTCTGTTGTCCACGCTTTTCTGACAAAGTCGAAGCTCACTCCCCGACAGGCTCGCTGGTGGCGCGACCTATCCGAGTTTAGTTTCACCACTGAGCACATCAAGGGTGAGACTAATCGGGTCGCAGCTGCCTTATCCCCGCGCCCTGACCACAACAAGGAGCAGATCCAGCTCTCTTCCATCTCGGTCACCACTGTCCACGACTCGGTGATCGACGAGTTTCGCACTCAGTACCGCCACTCCGCCGACTATCGCGATATCCACGCGACCCTTTGGAGTGGCAAGACTGTCCCGAACTACTCTCTCAGGGACAACGGTCTCGTGTACTGGCACGGTTCACAGGGCACCAGAGAGCCCCGTATTTGTGTTCCCTCCACTGGACAGCTGCGTGTCCGAGCAGTAGCAGAGTTCCATGACCAGGCAACCGCCGGTCATATGGGTTTCCACAAGACGTTGGCTCGTGTGAGCCGCCTGTACGTCTGGCCGAAGCGCAAGGACTTTGTGAAGGACTACGTCGCAGAGTGTCCCACCTGTCAGGAGGTGAACAGTGCGAACCACCTGCCTTATGGTTTGCTCCAGCCTCTTCCTATCCCTGAGGGTCATTGGCAGTCCATCTCAATGGACTTTATCGATCCTCTTCGTCCTCCGACCCCCCCGCGGTCATGATGCTATCCTGGTCGTCGTCGACCGCTTCACGAAGCGTGCGCGCTTTGTTCCGTGTCGCTATGCCATCAGTGCACGTGAGGTCGCCGACATCGTGTTTGACCGAGTCGTGCGTGACCACGGCTTACCTCTAAGCATCATATCTGACCGTGACCCGCGCTTTACCAGCCGATTCTGGCGACGACTCCACGAGGTTTACGGCACCCAGCTCCGCTTCTCCTCGTTTTACCATCCTCAGACTGATGGTTAGACCAAAATCACGAACAGGACTCTCGGAGATATTCTCCGAAAGATTGTTCGTGACGACCAGCAGTGGGATCTCCATCTTGCCCACCAAGAGATAGCCTACAACCACGCCGTCTCACCAGCCACGGGGATTTCGCCTTACTATTGTGACCTCGGCTATCACCCTCGTGTTCCCGCGAACTTCCTTCGACCGTCGCAGATGCACCCCGACACGAGTTGTCCCGCGCTGGATGATTGGATTGCACACATGACGTCGATTATGAAGACCGCACATGAGCACATAGCCATTTTCCTGAGAAAGAAAGAATGTGTGTGTGTGTGTGCGTGTGTGTGTATGTGTGTGTGTATGTGTGTGTGTGTGTGTGTGTGTGTGTGTGTGTGTGTGTGAGAGAGAGAGAGAGAGAGAGAGAGAGAGAGAGAGAGGGGGGGAGAGAGAGAGAGGGTTCAACTACGAAATAGATCACGGTCGCAATTTGACGACGATCAATTTCACGGTTGGAATTATTTTTTAAATTTATTTAATATTTTTTCTGAAAATATCACAACAAAATCTACGAACACTCAAATTTTCATAATTTTATACCCGTTTTTCTGGGAGCGAAATATCACTGAAGTTGGAGTACTTTTTTTGTTGGCCAACACATAGCTGAGTGACAAAAAATGCAAATGTGTCGAATTCACGTGACGATTATTTCGCGGTCTTACTATGCAACCAATTTTTTATTTTGAATTGGCGCGTTGATTATTTTGCGGTCTTAATGAATTTTTAAAAATTTTCTGTTATTTTTTCCTGGAAAGACAACGACGTAATCCATAGATTCTCAATTTTTCAGATTTTCTTGTGAATTCCTCCAAGCACAAAAAAATCGTCGAAGTTGCCTCTTGCAAATTGCGGGATTGGCTCGACCTTTTTGCAGCCCTCTAAGGCTGTGGTCTAGTGGGCTTCGGCGTTTGTGTCAAGGTGTCGCATTTTCGGCGGTGGGTGATAAGGACGCAAAGTGGGTTGTTAGGGGGGGGGGGAATTGTGGGGACTAGTCCTTGGTGAAATTGCGGACTACCTACAACTAGCTCTGGTAGAACCAGGACTTTTGGAAAAAGGAAGGACCGGTCCTCGGGTCGAAGAAGACCCCAAAAGAAGTGGGGGGCGTTGGACCAGTCCTCAGGTGGAAGCGGACCCTAAAAAGAAGTGAGGGCATGTGAACTGCCAAAGGACCCTCAGGCACAGGTGTTGAGGCCCGTCTTCTCAAAACAGGGAGGTCAAGCGCAACGAAACAGGCGTTTTGCAAGAGGCAACTTTGGCGATTTTCTGTGCTCAAAGGAACCCACTGAAAAATCTGAAATTTTGAAAATCGATAGATGAGGTCGTGCTTTTTCCAGGAAAAATATTAGAACATTTAAAAAAATAATTTACACCGTGAAATAATGGTCATGTCGATTCGGATTTTTTTTCCATTTTTGCCGCTCAGCCATGTATGAGCCAACTGAAAAAGTACTTCAAGTTCAATGAGTTTTTGCGCTTAGAAAAATGCGTGAAAAAAACCGAAATTGGAGTGCTCGTAGATTTTGTTGTGATATTTTCATAAAAAATACTAAATAAAATTTAAAAATCATTCAACTTTGAAATAGACCGCGGCCACAATTTGACCCATATTTCAATTTTGCCATTCAGCCTCTCTTTCTCTCGCTCTCTCACTTGTAGTCCCCGCCTCCCCCTCTCTCTATCTCTCTTTCTTTCTCTCTCTCACTCTCTCTCTCTCTCTCTCACTCATATCA